AGATCACAATGAATTTATTGGCTGAATGTTTGGGGGTGATTAATAATGAATCTATGTGAGCTGCTGACATTTTAATATTTTAATATTTAAAACTGAAGATGAAAGCGGTAGGAAATGCATCTTGGGAACAAATCTGAGGAAGCTAGACCGTTGCTTTATTTTCCCAAAAATTATCACAAGATATTCTAGTATCATTGACCTTACAGAATAATCTAGAAACCTTATACACAGATTGCCCTACTATTTGCCCTAACATAGAATCATATTCGGTGGAATTCTTGTTATATACAAAGATATCTTTCCTCTACAGTCTAAAACTATCAAAAATCGTCTCCAAAGTTGTGTTTGTTTTCTATTTTTCGTCCGTCGGGGCGCCAAGCTTAACTTAGGTCCCTACTACCCACTAAACTACCTAGAGGCATGGACGCCGGTGCTTACTGCCCTGGTGGCTTCGCCCTTGCTACTTCCTAACTAGGTTTGCAGGGCAATTCTCTAATTACATGATTGCGTGTAGCATAGCACCTGCACCTTTTCAGCCAGTCCCCGAGGCTCTTTACTCATTTGATGTATAACAACCACTCTCGAGATACTACTAATAGATCCATTCATAAATACCGCACCATCCATCCATAATGCAAGGCTCAGAGTTGGGGCAGAGACCAAAGTTGTGTAATATTTAGAAGATGTCAAACTTAGAGAGGGCTTCATGTGAAAGTCACGTGAATCGTCAACAGGTTAGAGCTAATGCAAGAATGAATGATTAATTACTTCATTCAACAGATTCCCATCATCCAAAATACCTCTAAGACGTCGAGTTACATTCATACCACTATTTTAAACACGCCAACTTCTCAATTAGACGGCACTCCTCCTGGTAGACAGAAAAAGCCTGCCGCGATCGCATTTCCTGCGAAAACTATTACGCGTGTTGCCAAACGCGTAAGACTTAAGAGCTGACTTCCATCTGCACGCGGAGAAGCCACTCTTGCAGCTTCCTATGAGAATCACCATTCTCCAGCTGAGTCAATTCTTCTTGACACCGAAAATGAGTTCATGGACTCAGGGTCAGAAAATGACTACCTCCCCGACCCGTTGCATATGCTCGAACCTGCAACTAGGGTCCCAAATCTACAAGCCACAAGAGTCTTGAAAAAGAATTCTGGTACAGGCCTTTCCAGTTCTAAACATGCCTCTTCTAAAAGTCAACCTATATATACTCCGAAAGTAGATACCCAATCTACCCCCCCTCCGACGCGTGAATCAGCGCGTATAATACATCAACTATTGCAGCTGATCCGAAAGCTATCGTGACACGCAGCGCTGCCCGGGTCATTGCCGGCTTGCCAGTCTTTGAGCAGTCAACAACTGTCTCGTAAGCTAATAAAAATAAGATAAATAATCACCCTCCAGTAATCAACTCACCCATTTCATACGCATCTATGGCGAAGAAAGACTCCTCTACCCCAGCCCCGCTACTCCAAACCAAAAAACTACATTAATAGATGTAAAATCCAAGCCCGACTCGAGGATCATGCCTTGCTTGGCGCCTGATCACCCCTTACGCCACCTAGATTCTCTCCTTGTCCGCACAAAGCTGAGAAACCTTCTAGACCGTCCAGAGCTAATCAAGGACATTCGTTCAGTCCCATCTGGCATTGTTTTGGTTGCTCCCTCTTCTGACCAAGCTCAAGATCCTCTCCAGGCAGCGGTAGCTCTGTAGCCCATGACTGAAATTGTACCAGTTGAAAGGCAAGAAAAACGTACAAACTTTCTTCTAGGCCCAGTTCCAAAATACGGATACAATTCCTCCGGATCACCGGAGGCCTTATCCGACGCAGATATCCGGCAGGAGCTAGCAGATGCCAAAATTTACACTGAGTCAATTTTCTCCATCTCATGGACGCGACGATCGCTGGAATCCCCTGAATGGGAAGGAACCCTCTGTCTAGTAGTCTCAAAGCCAGCTTTAGAGAAACTCCCGTCCAGTATTCGCCTTGTCGAACCTTTTGAGCTGGTTCGGAAGCTGTAATGATTGAGACTAGAGGTATCTGGAAGAATAGCTCGCACAGGAGCTTTCAATTGAAGTGAAATAAAAAGATGTAATTTTTCTGTCTGTCTGTCTTCCTTCCTCTTTCTCTCAGCTTATATATCTACACATATCTACTACCTGACGTAAGATAATAATATCTAGAAATAGCTTCCTAACATCATAGGATACAATCCAAACATGTTGTAGCCAAGATGTAATCCTAAACCGACTCAATACCAGTCCACCACGTCTGTTACACGGACGCCAAGCATTTTATAGCTGAAAATTACCCAAAACGCCAAGTTTTCCTGAGGCAATCACAAATTATGTCAGATACCAGCTTGGCATATTATTCTGACAATAATGTTACGATCATGTTAGAAGAATGGATTTACATGAATCACGAAACATTAATTCAGGAATACGAATTCCACCGGGTTCTGATACTGGTCTGACACGCCTCTTTGCTCGCTCCGCTAGAATCCGACCAGCTGATAATCGCCCCCGCCTTCAAGTCTGCCCCTGCTGTCGCGTATTTCATAACATAAACAGCTGCACAGGCCGAGCCCAGCGTAGCACTTGCGCCTCGGACTCTCATAATAGACCCTGCATGACACCTATAAAATGCTTGAATTGCGCCAGCCCACACGAGGCTTCTTCCCCTGGCTGTCCAGCCCGTCCATTTCGAGCTAATGAAGTCTTTGTTCGTCCAGACAAAGAGAGTATACGGCTGATTCGATAATAGGGATATAAAGCATGGCTTGCCCTGCATCCACCTCCGCCTCCTAGTGACCGCCTTATTGGTGTAAAGCTCCTATTGGGGAAACAGGTCATGTAGTTTCGCTTAGCTAGTCTCATTGCCCTATAGTTACGATCCCACTGTCCGAGGTAATAGATCATCGATCGCACTGACTCCGAACGTACGTACGCGCTTTTCTGGTCCCTCAGGCGCGAGACACACTCAATACGCCTGTATTCGAGTTCAATTCTCGTAACCGAAGCCTAGGAATATTTCAAGAACCAAACGAAAATCTCAAACTCATTAACGCCTCTCGTGTAGTAACAGATATTATTCTTCAATTCCGTTTTTCAAATTTCGCGTCCGGCGTGATAAAAATTTTCCCATTAGTTTTGTCACAGGCTCATACCTGGTTATCATTAGGCTGCTGCCTAACAAATAAGGCTTGAACTCTTCCAACCATATTAAACATCATACATGTCATGAACCCCTCCACGACTCATTAGACCCAAGTATAGGCCTTGGCCCAGTTCATGCAAATCTATTCTTAAATGACAAATTTAGATTGCAGACAGGACGACTCGAACACCAGTCGTGAGTCATCTAAGCCACATGCATCATAACTATTTTAATAACTAAAATTACTAACATTAAAATGAAGCTGAATTAAAATAGACGGAGATGCTGGTGTTTGTCGGAGGACAGGTCATGATCTATTTTGAGAATGGTATGAAATGAGGGAACGAGATCATAGTCTTGTAAATAAATAGGAGGCTTTCAGTCATGTCTCTGCTCGTTACTTTAAGATTTTCATTTGTATCTAGCTCTGAGTTCAGTTTGAATAAAACGCCACTTTAAGACCGTCACAAGTTTCACAAAAAAAAAAAAAAAAAGGTCGGCAATCATGGCTGCCCCATGCCAGTGAACTGGGAGTCTCCTACTTCTAGCTCAACACATATCACCGCTCCAACTTCTACTCAATCAGCCAACTCAGATAAGGAATTCAATCTTCAAATTCGGACGCTTCCACTGTCTGTTCTAACAGGTAGTAGAGAAGTCACAGAAAACTTTTTAGAAGCTCCAAGAATGTCTAAAAACGCTCGTCACCCCGAGCCAATGCTCCCAACCTTTGATAGATCTGGAAGCTACGACGGCAGTATTCCAGCGTCCAGATGGCTGCTCCGATTGAAATATAAATTCCGCAGAGCAGACCATAATCCCCCACCAGGAGATTTATACCTGGAGGCTATCGAGATGCTTGTGGACGGTGCCGCAGCCGACAGACTGCACGCCACACCTAGGATAAGAAGAATTATTAATAATCGGGAAACTGCCACACCAGAAGACATATGCAAAGTTAACGAGTGGCTAACCGAAGAGTTTCCTGAAAAATTCGAAGACAATGTAGAACAGAACATACAGTCGGAAATTCAAAAATTCGCACAGAGAAAGAAGGAAGACCAGGATGATCAGAAGCCCGAGACCCTAAAAGTATATCATCATAGAGAAGTCAATTTACTCCATCGAGCCCATGGCAGGGATCGCCCGCGCGAAAATTCAGCGCTCCCAGCCTTGACGGGGCTAGAAAATATTATCCTGAACACCATAGTGAATGCATACTTTATAGGCTTGTGAAATACTAGATTTAGTCAGAAGGTCCTCGAAAGGAACGGAGCTACCTGCGGAGCCCTTTGGGAAGCTTTTGAGATCATCCAATCAGCCTAGAGATCTATCGAGCTACTAGATCAGACTGAGAAGGAACTGATCGACAAAAGCAGGCTATCAAGGCTAGAAGAATTCGTTTCGTGCCAACATGGGCGCTCCACCGTCTCAATTCTTGCCGATGTAGATGCAGGAAGACCAGTGTACAGCCTGGGCTCTCCGTCGGGCCAGGGCTCAAAGAATTCTCCAATGCCCTCCGGGACTACACCCTCCAACCGACAATTGACAGCACCTCACAGTAACAATTAACACCGACAACTAGGCGGAGCCGACAGGAAACCACTGCACTCGGGCATGCCTCCAGCATCAAGCTCATTACACCCAATAATTAACGGGACGAAACCTCATAACCCGTCTGTCGATGGGCTACTATGCATCAACTGTAGAGACTTCGGCCATCGCCGGAGGGAATGTCACAACAAATCCTTGCTGTACTGGGAACAAGCATATCTGAAGGAAATTGTATTCAAACCAATCTCTTCTCAATCAGCTCAATTGTACTTTTATCAAATGCTGTTTGAAGATGAAATGACTTACACCGAGGAGCACGATTGCACCAAAGACGTACCGCTGCCTCCACAGGAAGCACCCTGCTATAACGTGGACCCTCACGTAGTTGAAACTAGAGAGGGTCGGACGATTAGCGACAATAGTAAATTGGCTCTGTTGGACAAGGGAAAATCAAGAATGCCAAACTGTAAGTATTCTCCTTCCCATTCTATCTTTCGTTTATAATTTTACTCTTCTCCTGGTGTTGCTATGACAACAGTACAGCTCTTGGCACTTGATATTATTTTGATACTAGTTTATGGCCTATGTTATAATAAGCTAGTGGAAGGAGGGCAGGTATATTTATGATGGCTTGGACTGTAGAAATAGAGTTCTCTACGCTTAGTTTTCTGTCACAACCACCACCTTCAGATTACCTCTAGTCACAGCCAGTTATCTCTTGTACCTTTGTTTACCATTAGTACCCACTCGAACCTTTAGACCTTTTAGATATATATATTACCCATCTTTCAAACCTTTAGTTCCTCATAGTTATCTCCAGTAGACCTTCAGTCATCTCTTGAGATCCATCCGGCCTCTTCTAGCCCTCCAATTCCGCTTCAGCTCAAACTCCTACGCTCCAATCTGACACAACCCCATTAGAACTGACGGAAGACGAAGAAGGACCTATCGTAAGTCTGTTATCACTCATAGTAGAGTCTGCTGAAAATTCCAGGAAGAGAGCACGTACTGAGGACATCCTTAATGACGAGCACGACTTTAAAACGACACCCAAGAGATCCGGTAGAGCAAAGAAAGGGGAGACAAAGATCCGGGAACTGCGGGAAATAGTAGGCCGTCGGGGAAAAGGCCCCGTAGATTATGTGAAACTAGCAGAAGAGATCAAAGTCCCTATCAACCTACTTGACCTCTTCCAAATCTTCCCAGACCTGGTCAATAACTTCAAGATGATATCCACTCGTACTAACCGAAAGCAGAAAACCAAGGTGGGGAAACAGGTACCGACTACTAGCGTAAACCTTCTAGACAAAGATAAATCCACGCCGCAAAGGTCTTTTCTAGCCGTAGATGCCGATAATAAAGCCTTCAGAATACCAACCATTGTCCGAATCAGGAAAGATGGAAGGCATAAACTGATACGTCTCCCACTGGGCGCGTCTCAGGCAGACCAGGGCTCTGATATCAACGTCTGCTCTCCCGCCTTAGCTTCAGCATTGTCGGCCAAAATTCGGAAATTAGGCAATCGCGGATGGAACACTGGTCTTCAGATGATGATTGCAGACGGAAACGCAAGTCAACTTATGGAATTCTGTAAACTCAACATACGCACCCAAGGAGTCAGGCGCAGAGTTTGCTGCTTCATACGACCCGACACTCATAAGAGGGAGGACCTACACCTACTCTTGGGTTTACTATCACGGGTAGGTCTCGTTGGAACGGAGTCACGAGCAGATCGGAGGTACGAGAGGACGAAGTACGGGTAAGAATATATTAATAAGACGTTGCACAATCTATCCTAGAGTGCAACTACTTAGATACTTATACTTCATTCCTGCGCTAGCATCAATCATATAGATAAGTAAGATAATTTTGCGTCATGTGACTTATAGATCAGGTCATAAGCGAGAACCATAGGTACCATGACAGTAGGTCCCCTTCTATGCCTGTTGTCTCAACAGCATCTGGAAATCATCCTCCGTTTAAGCAGTGTAAGAGCTTGTTTTTGCCTCAGTTTTAGCATCCATTAGTTCCTTCAGAGTGGGCTTGAGGCGATGTGGAAATTTCTTGTGATAGTCTGTCAATGACTCTGATAGTCTCAAGGAGCCGTGTTACTAGTATTCCGTAGGGTACGAATTTGGTACAAGTAGGTTACAGGTGTGGAGTATGGTGGTGACTCCTAAGAGTAGGAGGTATAAATTCAGCGTTAGGTATAGGGTTCACGTAAGAAGTAAAGGTAAAATAAGTAGTAGGTGAGAAGGGTACAATAACGGCGGTCTTCTTTAGAGAAGAGATAAGTAAGTGAACAATAGGTATGAGTATAAACAGAAGACGTTGCGTGAAGAAGAATACTCCTTCACGCTGGGTATATATGTACATCAGATAATAGGACAGCCCTAAGCTCTGTCTCGAACAGTATTACTACGCAATCCCTATGAAACGACCCTATGTTCCTGAGCCTGTCCTAATTGTTTGAGAACTTGATCTAACCCCGAGTTGTGTTTTAGAATGGAACTCCCCATGAGACACCATCCTAGTTTCCGCCACGTTTATCCATGAAAGATAGGTGTCCCGTTACCAAATCTGACAAAGGTTGCCATGAATTTTCAAATTGGCCTGTATACTTAAAACAATATTCAAATCCTCGAGATTTTAAACGCCTGGACCCTAGAATTGCGTCAACCCCATATGAATCTTTGCCAAATTCATCGATTTCTATGGGTGATTTGGTTCATTTGTTTGACCAGGGATTGGGTTATTAGGATCCGGTCGAAGAAGGCTTGTGTGAAAGATGGGGTGTATGGATTTAAGATTTTCGGGGAGAAGTAGTTCATAGCTGTGACTACTTATCACTCTAACAATGGTGAATGGTCCCAGATTTTTCCAATCTAATTTCTTACTAGGTCTTTTAGTTTTAATATTCTTTGCGTTGACAAAGACTTTATCGCCAATCTGGAAGGATGGCGGGGGAGAGCGGTGTTTCTTTGCATGTTTCTCATAAAAGGCTTGAGATACCTTCATATTCTCACGAAGGGATATAGTGAGATTATGCATCTGGTTAATAAAATCATTAACCCGTTCTTGTTGTATTTGGAGGTACTCGGAAGTTAATGGTTGATTAAGATTTCGAGGAGGGGTTATTGCAGATCTCGGATGTTGTGCTGTATTTGCGAAAAATGGGGTAATCTTTGTGGATTCAGACTCAGAATTGTTAGCATTAAACTCCGCTGAAGGTAGCCATTGAACCCAATCATCTTGCTGATAATTACAATAGGCTCGGAGATAACACACTAGAATTGCGTTAGACCTCTCGGTTTGACCATTTGTTTCAGGGTGCCACGCAGTTGAAAGTAGGATTTTAGTCCCTGTCTGCTCGCAGACAGCGTGCCAGAATTTTGCAACAAATTGAGGCCCCCTATCTGATACTACTGACTCGGGAAACCCATGGTGTTTCCAAATATGTTTATAAAACAGTTGTGCAGTTCCTCCGGCGTCTATACTAGACCCACAAGGGATAAAGTGGCAAGCTTTGGCAAGCCTACAACAGACAACCATGATGAAATCGTACCCATCCGATTTTGGTAAAGGTCCTATAAAATCTACGGAAATATCTCGCCAGCGACGTTGAGGTACCGGGAGTTGCTTGAGCAATCCCTGATACTTAAGACGGGAAGGAGTGATTCGCTTACAGACATGACAATTATTGGTGTATTGAGAGATAAATTGCAGCATATTTGGCCACCAATAATCTCGAGATATTTCTGCAAAGACCTTGTTTCTTCCATGGTGACCTCCATTGGGATGATCATGGCAGTACTTTAGCAATAAGAGCTTCAGACTCAATTCATCAGGAACATAAAAAAAATTATCATAGTAAAGTCTATCATCCTTGAGGCTACAACGGGAAAGGTCTAGATGCTTAGAGCGATGTGGTCCAGGTCCCTTGAGAATCTTGATATAACTCTGGAGTACAGGATCTTCAAAATATCCTTTGGCGAAAAGGATTTCGATTTGATTGGATAACGTTGAGGGGTCAAGTGTTGCATTAGCGAGATCAAGTTTAGATTTCCTACTCTGAATAATCATAGGGTCGATATTATGAGACTTAAGTACTGTCTATTGCTGTTGACGTAGGCGTTCATCTCCCCCTCTGACCGGAATATCCTCAGATCGACGTGTGAGAGCGTCAGGCTTGCCACCAAGTTTCCCGGGACGATAACTAATCACAAAATTAAACCTTGAAAGAAATTCGGACCATCTAGCTTGACGTCTATTTAGATTTTTAGTTGACATGAAGTATTCTAGGTTCTTGTGATCGCTTATGACGGAGATGGGTTCAATCGTACCCTGAAGCTCAGGACTCCAATACTCAAAAGCAGTTACAATAGCCAGCAGTTCCTTATCGTAAATTTCGTAATTTACTTGGGATGGAGATAAACGGCCAGAAAAGTATGCAATAGGATGAAGTACATTCTCATTGTCAAACTGAGATAAAATCCCCCCTTTGGCCCAGTTGCCTGAATCCACTTCTACTATGCAGCGGCGGTCTGGATCGAAGTGGCGAAGAATAGGAGCCATAATAAACGAAATTTTGAGAGAATTGAATGCTGAATTGCACGCTTCGGACCAGTGCCAGGGCACATTTTGTTTTGTTAGTTCTGTGAGTGGGAGTGCTACGAGAGAAAATCCTTTGATAAACACCGGTAAAAATTAGCAAACCCAAGAAATGCTTGCACGTCTTTCAAACAATTTGGAGCTTTCCAAGACTTTATGCAATCAATTTTGACTGGGTCCATTTCGATTCCTTTACGAGATATTATTAGTCCTAGGTATTTAACCTCAGTCGCTTCAAATTTGCATTTTTTAATATCGAGTTGGAGGCCTGCTGCTCGAAGCTTATTTAAAACCAAATTTACGTGTTTTCGATGTTCTTCGCGCGAGGAGCTATAAACTAAAACATCGTCGAGATAAGCAGTACAGAATATGTCCAAATATTCTTGAAGACTGTTATTTATATAACTCTGGAAAGTGCTCGGGGTATTTGTTAAACCAGAAGGCATGACCAAGGATTCGAAAAGCCCATAGCGAGTGCGGATGGCTGTTTTCCACTCGTCTCCTTTTGCGATTCGGATACGATTAAACGCTGCTATCACGTCAAGTTTAGTAAAATATTTGGCTTTGGAAAGACGATCCAAGGTTTCTGAAATTAGGGGAATGGGGTAGCGATTATTTACAGTGATGGCATTAAGCGCTCTATAATCCACACAGAGTCGGATTCCTCCATCAGCCTTTTTAACAAATAATACTGGCGAAGCGGCGGGAGAGGAGCTTGTGCGGATAAATTTTTTTGATAGGTTTTCCTGAATCCATTCCTTGAGAGTATTGAGTTCCTCTCTTGACATGCCGTATAATTTTCCAAAGGGAGGATTAGAGCCTTTCTTCAGGATGATCCTATGGTCGATAGGACGGTGCGGGGGTAAGACTCGAGATTCGAGTTTAGAGAAAGCTTCAGCCTGATGGTGAAGCCACTTTGGCAGTATGATCTGGGTCTCTTCGGATTCTTTTTTAACTAAAGCTTGGTCTAGATCATGAATTGAGAGGGAAATGGTTTCGGTGGGCTTTTGCAAGTCCAAATGATTAAAGGATGCCGGTCTATTGACTGCAATATTAGTGCGAGACAATTTTACGGGCTTTCGGGACTTTGACGTGACGTTGATTGCATTTAAGCCTTCAGTAGTGTTATAATCGCTATGCTTACAAGCTATTGGAATACTTGGAAGATAACAATTTCTTGTACAAAACGGGGAATTAAAGCGGAGTGTACCTGATGACCAGTTGATTGATGGGTTATGACATGCCAGCCACCCATAGCCTAGGATTATTGGGTACTGGTTTAGTTTGGTAACAAAAAGTTCTAAAATTTCCGAATGGTTCTTTATAGTTAGACGTAGCTTTACGGAGTGAGTCACCATGCCGGCAGATGAATTTCTTCCATCATCAACGCGAAGGATGCGAGGAGCGTTGTCAGATTGGAGTCTAGACGTTTGAGCTGGAGCGAATTCGAAGGGCTAGAAGATGTTAAATGGACGGCGAAAGATGACTGAAGGTATACTAGAGATAATTTGGAGGAAATTGAGGTTTGAAAGATGGTTAATATAATTATTTAAAAGGTCTAAAGGTTCGAGAGGGTACTAATGATAACTAAAGGTACTAGAGGTAACTAGAGGTGACTATAGGTGACCAGAGGTGATCCGAAGGTGGTGGTTGTGACAGAAGACTAAGCGTAAAGAACTCTATGCCTACAGACCAAACCATTGTATATATACCTGCCTTCCTTTCACTAGCTCATCATAACATAGACCTTAACATAATATCAACATGATACCATGTGCCAAGAACTGTCCTGTTGTCATAGCAACATATGAAGAAAGGTAAAATTATATCCCAAAGAAAGGATCGGAAGAGGAATCCTTACAAGCGTGAAGAGGTGTGAGTTGAAGGGAATTTTGATGCGCAAATGCAGCGTCAATAAAACCGAAATCATTTCCTCCAGAGTCAATAAATGCACAAGTTCTAATACTTCTTGATTCAGAAAGAATCTGACATTGTAAAACAAGTGAATTTATTCTAGATTTTGGGTGAAATAGAGTTGATAGTATTAATGGGTGTATTGAGCTACTGGGTGGACCATAATCGTGACGATAATTATGGCCTAATCTTTTAACTCCTCTAATAAGCTATCATCGTTGAAATAATCCTCCCCTAA